TATCACAATCCTCAAAACACCCCATAATATCTTCAATGAGCTGAATTTTAGAAGCCCAGAATGGTTTCTGTAGCTCAAAGTTTGTGGGTGGAGATAGGTGGCGAAGCAGACACATATTAACTGTGTGTACAAGCAGCTGAACTGCAAGGTAGACCTAATAAAGCAACAAGTACAAGAATGTGTGTGTGTGTGTGTGTGTCGTTAATGACTGCATCCTAAACAGCTGTGAGATCAAAGGCAAATCACTGACCTACTGTTTGAATGAGAAGCAGCTGAACTGCAGAGGATTTAGAGGCTCTAAACTTCTTCACATAGCGTGATTTCCTTAAGTCACAGAATGAAAATAAGAACATCATACGAATCCTCCGCCCTTCATGAACACAATGATGTCTTTTTCATGTCTGTACTTCGAAAAATGAGGCCACAACAGCGAGTTTAAAAAGTCTGAGCCTGAGCGATGATCCGGATTTTTTTGGAGAAAAATAACATTACCGTCAATGGGAGAGATTTCCGCCTTCTTTGGACAGTTGGTCACCTGCTGGCCAAGGGGTACGATTTAATGATTTGAAACCTCTTTTGTGAGAAGCAGGACACATATACCTCCATTTTGATGTATTATTTGTGTCAGTGGAGTGAGATTTGTGGGCGTGGGAGCGATATATTCGAGCGAGGTTCTGTCGATCAGAGACGAGGTCTGCACTCTAGCTGATGACATCATCACTCTAAACTCTCCAATACACACCCATTATAAAGCTTGAAATTTGCTGAAAACCACAAGTTGCTTAAAGCTAAATTGTGGAAGAACTGTAGAAGATATCAAAAAACCGAGTACAACTTTAATAGTCGACAAGTGAATGAACATTTTAAAGCAAAAATGAGGTCTCTAGGTGAAAGTATGCTGAAGTTATAAGGTCTAGAAGGTGGAAGAATGAAAGGAAGAAGTTGAAGATTTCCCCATTGACTTCAATGTTAAAATTTTTGCACAAAAAGTTAAAAAAATCAAAAAGTATAAAAGGTAGAAGAGTGAAAAGTAATAGCCATCATGTCCTGAAGGAGTGGAATAGTTTAAAGTTTGAACGGTTGAAATCGGACAAAGTTTGAAGGAGGAGAAGCGTTGCAAAAAAGGGACGGAAGAATAATAATAATAATAATAAGTTTAATAAAGAAACAGGAGAATAACAATAAGTGGAAATGCCTATCAGCATTTCCACTTAACTAGAAAAATTGCATTTCCTTGCAGAAAATGCGTGGAAATGCTGAGTGCTGAAAGCTGAAAAAGCAATGCTAAACTGCTAATAAAACATGGAGAAAGGTATAAATGTTAAAGCTGTTGAAGGGGTGAAAAAGAAATATAAGTTGGATAATAGTTTAATTGGTTGAAGGACAAATAGTATGAATATGCTCTATAAAAGGAAATTTTATTCATGCTGAAAGAGGCTAGAAAAATGTCTAAAATTGCACAAAGTTTGAATGAAGAAGGAAACTGCCTTTAAAGGCAGGAAGGTGAGAAGTGGCATAAGTTTAAGTTGTAGTACTAGAAGAAGTATGATAAGAAGTCAAGTCGTGATACTAGTAGTCATGTCAGCAGTAGAAGTAGATTGAGTAGTTGTAGTACTAGAGGTAGGATTTTGTTTGACGGACGGATTAATGCATAAATATTAAAAATAATATAAAACAGGGAAAATTTTATTAATTAAAAATCCTCAAGTATCAGACAGTTTTTAAGTATTAGAAAGGTTTGAATCATTTTGAATGAGTTTAAATTAGTTTGAAAAATTAAATGATAAATCATCACTGAGTGACTTTAAAATGTGAAAAATTTAAATGAATATAAATCCTAAATACACCCCATAATGTCCTCAATGAGCTTAAATTTTAAAGCCCTGAATGGTTTCTGTAGGTCAAAGGTCATGTGAGGAGATAGGGGCTGAAGGTTTTTCAAGCGCTCTAGGAAAGGGTTTTAAGTGTCATCCCCAGTGCTATGTGTACTGAGCCTGGCTTCATGTGTCTCATATGGCCATTAGAAGCAGCTTTCCAGTCAGCTGTGTGTCTCCAGGTGCACAAATTGGTTGCCATGGGGACCTTGGATGAATAACTATAGCAGGAGAAAGAAGGCTTGAAGCTAAGGAAACAGGACTCCAAGTAGGCCCTGACGCTCATCCTCTGTATAAATTCATAAGGAGCTTGTGAGAACACAAGACTCTGCTGAACACATTAATACAATTTATTATCACAATCCTCAAAACACCCCATAATATCTTCAATGAGCTGAATTTTTGAAGCCCAGAATGGTTTCTGTAGCTCAAAGTTTGTGGGTGGAGATAGGTGGTGAAGCAGACACATATTAACTGTGTATACAAGCAGCTGAACTGCAAGGTAGACCTGACAGCAAAAAGTACAAGAATCTGTGTGTGTGTGTGTGTGTGTGTGTGTGTGTGTGTGTCTCGTTAATGATTGCATCCTAAACAGCTGTAAGATCAAAGCATTAACTAACCTATTGTTTGAATGGAGAAGCTGCTGAACTGCAGTGAATTTAGGGTTCTGAACTTTTTCACATAGCACGATTTCCTTAAATCCCAGAATGAAAATAAGAACATCGTACGAATCCTCCATCCTTCATGAACACAATGATGTGTTTTTCATGTCTGTACTCCGAAAAATGTGGCCACAACAGCGAGTTAAAAAAGTCTGAGCCTGAGTGACGATAAGGATTTTCTTGGAGAAAAAATACATTAGGGCCAATGGGAGAGATTTCCGCCTATTTGGACAGTTGGTCACCTGCTGGCCAAGGGGTACGATTTAATGATTTGAAACCTCTTTTGTGAGAAGCAGGACACATATACCTCCATTTTGATGTATTTTTTATGGCTGTGGAGTGAGATTTGTGGGCGTGGGAGCGATATATTCGAGCGAGGTTCTGTCGATCAGAGACGAGGTCTGCACTCTAGCTTTTCAAATCATCACTCTAGCCTCTCCAATACACAACCATTATAAAGCCTGAAATTAGCTGAAAACCACAAGTTGCATAAAGCTAAATTGTGGAAAAACTGTAAAAGATAGCACAAAAAGGTTAATACAACATCATTAGTCGACAAGACAATGAACATTTTAAAGCAAAAATGAGGTCTCTAGGTGAAAGTATGCTGAAGTTATAAGGCTTAGAAGGTGCACGAATAACAGGAAGAATTGGAAGATTTCCCCATTCATTTCTATGGGAAAAAAGTTTGGAACAAAAAGTGAAAAATAATAAAAAGTACAAAGGATAGAAAGGAAAAAAATACAAGCACACATGTCCTGATGGAGTGGAATAGTTTAAAGTTTGAACGGTTGAAATCGGACAAAGTTTGAAGGAGGAGAAGCGGTCCAAAGAAACGTATGGGGAGAGTGTTAAGTATAATACTAGAAAAATTGCATTTCCTTGCAGAAAATGCGTGGAAATGCTGAGTGCTGAAAGCTGAAAAAGCAATGCTAAACTGCTAATAAAACATGGAGAAATGTATAAATGTTAAAGCTGTTGAAGGGGTGTGAAAGAAATGTAAGTTGGATAATTGATTAATTGGTTGAAGGACAAATAGTATGAATATGCTCTATAAAAAGAAATTTTATTCATGCTGAAAGAGGCTAGAAAAATGTCTAAAATTGCACAAAGTTTGAATGAAGAAGGAAATTGCCTTAAAAGGCAGGAAGGTGAGAAGTGGCATAAGTTTAATTTTTGAAGTATTAGAAAGGTTTGAATCAGTTTGAATCAGTTCAAATTAGTTTGAAAAATTAAATGATAAATCATCACTGAGTGACTTTAAAATGTGAAAAATCTAAATGTATATAAATCCTAAATACACCCCCTAATGTCCTCAATGAGCTCAAATTTTAAAGCCCTGAATGGTTTCTGTAGGTCAAAGGTCATGTGAGGAGATAGGGGCTGAAGTTTTTTCAAGCGCTCTAGTAAAGGGTTTTAAGTGTCATCCCCAGTGCTATGTGTGCTGAGCCTGGCTTCATGTGTCTCATATGGCCATTAGAAGCAGCTTTCCAGTCAGCTGTGTGTCTCCAGGTGCACTAATTGGTTGCCATGGGGACCTTGGATGCATAACTATAGCAGGAGAAAGAAGGCTTGAAGCTAAGGAAACAGGACTCCAAGTAGGCCCTGACGCTCATCCTCTGTATCTATTCCTGATAAGGAGCTTGTGAGAACACAAGACTCTGCTAAACACATTAATACAATTTATTATCACAATCCTCAAAACACCCCATAATATCTTCAATGAGCTGAATTTTAGAAGCCCAGAATGGTTTCTGTAGCTCAAAGTTTGTGGGTGGAGATAGGTGGCGAAGCAGACACATATTAACTGTGTGTACAAGCAGCTGAACTGCAAGGTAGACCTCATAAAGCAACAAGTACAAGAATGTGTGTGTGTGTGTGTGTGTGTGTCTCGTTAATGACTGCATCCTAAACAGCTGTGAGATCAAAGGCAAATCACTGACCTACTGTTTGAATGAGAAGCAGCTGAACTGCAGAGGATTTAGAGGCTCTAAACTTCTTCACATAGCGTGATTTCCTTAAGTCCCAGAATGAAAATAAGAACATCGTACGAATCCTCCGCCCTTCATGAACACAATGATGTCTTTTTCATGTCTGTACTTCGAAAAATGAGGCCACAACAGCGAGTTAAAAAAGTCTGAGCCTGAGCGATGATCCGGATTTTCTTGGAGAAAAATACATTAGGTCTAATGGGGAGAGATTTCCGCCTATTTGGACAGTTGGTCACCTGCTGGCCAAGGGGTAAGATTTAATGATTTGAAACCTCTTTTGTGAGAAGCAGGACACATATACCTCCATTTTGATGTATTTTTTATGGGTGTGGATTGAGATTTGTGAGCCTGGGAGCGATATATTCGAGCGAGGTTCTGTCGATCAGAGACGAGGTCTGCACTCTAGCTGATGACATCATCACTCTAAACTCTCCAATACACACCCATTATAAAGCTTGAAATTTGCTGAAAACCACAAGTTGCATGAAGCTAAATTGTGGAAGAACTGTAGAAGATAGCACAAAAAAGTGAATACAACATTAATAGCCGACAAGTTAATGAACATTTTAAAGCAAAAATGAGGTCTCTAGGTGAAAGTATGCTGAAGTTATAAGGCTTAGAAGGTGGAAGAATAAAAGGAAGATATGGAAGATTTCCCCATTGACTTCAATGTTAAAATTTTTGCACAAAAAGTTTAAAAAAAACAAAAAGTATAAAAGGTAGAAGAGTGAAAAGTAATAGCTATCATGTCCTGAAGGAGTGGAATAGTTTAAAGTTTGAACGGTTGAAATCGGACAAAGTTTGAAGGAGGAGAAGCGGTCCAAAAAAGGTACGGAAGAATAATAATAAGTTGAATAAAGAAACAGGAGAATAACAATAAGTGGAAATGCTTAATCAGCATTTCCACTTAACTAGAAAAATTGCATTTCCTTGCAGAAAATGCGTGGAAATGCTGAGTGCTGAAAGCTGAAAAAGCAATGCTAAACTGCTAATAAAACATGGAGAAAGGTATAAATGTTAAAGCTGTTGAAGGGGTGAAAAAGAAATATAAGTTGGATAATTGATTAATTGGTTGAAGGACAAATAGTATGAATATGCTCTATAAAAGGAAATTTTATTCATGCTGAAAGAGGCTAGAAAAATGTCGAAAATTGCACAAAGTTTGAATGAAGAAGGAAATTGCCTTAAAAGGCAGGAAGGTGAGAAGTGGCATAAGTTTAAATTGTAGTACTAGAAGTAGTATGATAAGAAGTCAAGTCGTGATACTAGTAGTCATGTCAGCAGTAGAAGTAGATTGAGAATAAAAGAAGTATAAGTCAAAGTAGTAAAGAAAGTAGAAATAGGAGCAATAGCAGTTGAAGTAGAGGGGAAAGTTCTAGTTTAATTGACATTAGGAGTAGTTGTCGTACTTGAGGTAGGATTTTGTTTGAATGATGGAGTAATGCATAAATATTAAAACTAATTTAAAACAGGGAAATTTTAAATTTTTAAAAGTCCTCAAGTATCAGAAAGTTTTGAAGTATTAGAAAGGTTTGAATCAGTTTGAATGAGTTTAAATTAGTTTGAAAAATTAAATGATAAATCATCACTGACTGACTTTTAAAATGTGAAAAATTTAAATGAATAACAATCCTAAATACACCCAATAATGTCCTCAATGAGCTTAAATTTCAAAGCCCTGAATGGTTTCTGTAGGTCAAAGGTCATATGAGGAGATAGGGGCTGAAGTTTTTCCAACGCTCTAGGAAAGGGTTTTAAGTGTCATCCCCAGTGCTATGTGTACTGAGCCTGGCTTCATGTGTCTCATATGGCCACTAGAAGCAGCTTTCCAGTCAGCTGTGTGTCTCCAGGTGCACAAATTGGTTGCCATGGGGACCTTGGATGCATAACTATAGCAGGAGAAAGAAGGCTTGAAGCCAAAGAAACAGGACTCCAAGTAGGCCCTGACGCTCACCCTCTGTATATATTCATAAGGAGCTTGTGAGAACACAAGACTCTGCTGAACACATTAATACAATTTATTATCACAATCCTCAAAACACCCCATAATATCTTCAATGAGCTGAATTTTTGAAGCCCAGAATGGTTTCTGTAGCTCAAAGTTTGTGGGTGGAGATAGGTGGTAAAGCAGACACATATTAACTGTGTGTACAAGCAGCTGAACTGCAAGGTGGACCTCAAAAAGCAACAAGTACAAGAATGTGTGTGCGTGTGTGTCTCGTTAATGACTGCATCCTAAACAGCTGTGAGATCAAAGGCAAATCACTAACCTACTGTTTGAATGAGAAGCAGCTGAACTGCAGTGAATTTCAGCCTGTGAACTTCTTCACATAGCGTGATTTCCTTAAGTCCCAGAATGAAAATAAGAACATCGTACGAATCCTCCGTCCTTCATGAACACAATGATGTGTTTTTCATGTCTGTACTTCGAAAAATGAGGCCACAACAGCGAGTTAAAAAAGTCTGAGCCTGAGCGATGATCCGGATTTTCTTGGAGAAAAATAACATTATGGTCAATGGGAGAGATTTCCGCCTTCCTTGGACAGTTGGTCATCTGCTGGCCAAGGGGTATGATTTAATGATTTGAAACCTCTTTTGTGAGAAGCAGGACACATATACCTCCATTTTGATGTATTATTTATCGCTGTGGAGTGAGATTTGTGGGCGTGGGAGCGATATATTCGAGCGAGCTTCTGTCGATCAGAGACGAGGTCTGCACTCTAGCTGATGACATCATCACTCTAAACTCTCCAATACACACCCATTATAAAGCTTGAAATTTGCTGAAAACCACAAGTTGCTTAAAGCTAAATTGTGGAAAAACTGTACAAGATATCAAAAAACTGAGTACAACTTTAATAGTCGACAAGTGAATGAACATTTTAAAGCAAAAATGAGGTCTCTAGGTGAAAGTATGCTGAAGTTATAAGGTCTAGAAGGTGGAAGAATAAAAGGAAGAAGTGGAAGATTTCCCCATTGACTTCAATGTTAAAATTTTTGCACAAAAAGTTAAAAAAAACAAAAAGTATAAAAGGTAGAAAGGTAAAAAGTACAAGCAAACATGTCCTGAAGGAGTGGAATAGTTTAAAGTTTGAACGGTTGAAATCGCACAAAGTTTGAAGGAGTTGAAAGCGGACGAAAAACGGCGGAAGAATAATAATAAGTTTAATAATAAAGAAACAGGAGAATAACAATAAGTGGAAATGCTTAATCAGCATTTCCACTTAATAAAGAAACGGGAGAATAACAATAAGTGGAAATGCCTATCAGCATTTCCACTTAATAATAAAGAAAAATGGCCGACAGGAATAACAATAAGTGGAAATGCTTAATCAGCATTTCCACTTAACTAGAAAAATTGCATTTCCTTGCAGAAAATGCGTGGAAATGCTGAGTGCTGAAAGCTGAAAAAGCAATGCTAAACTGCTAATAAAACATGGAGAAAGGTATAAATGTTAAAGCTGTTGAAGGGGTGTGAAAGAAATGTAAGTTGGATAATTGATTAATTGGTTGAAGGACAAATAGTATGAATATGCTCTATAAAAAGAAATTTTATTCATACTGAAAGAGGCTAGAAAAATGTCTAAAATTGCACAAAGTTTGAATGAAGAAGGAAATTGCCTTAAAAGGCAGGAAGGTGGGAAGTGGCATAAGTTTAATTTTTTAAGTATTAGAAAGGTTTGAATCAGTTTGAATCAGTTCAAATTAGTTTGAAAAATTAAATGATAAATCATCACTGAGTGACTTTAAAATGTGAAAAATCTAAATGTATATAAATCCTAAATACACCCCATAATGTCCTCAATGAGCTCAAATTTTAAAGCCCTGAATGGTTTCTGTAGGTCAAAGGTCATGTGAGGAGATAGGGGCTGAAGGTTTTTCAAGCGCTCTAGGAATGGGTTTTAAGTGTCATCCCAGGTGCTATGTTTACTGAGCCTGGCTTCATGTGTCTCATATGGCCATTAGATGCAGCTTTCCAGTCAGCTGTGTGTCTCCAGGTGCACAAATTGGTTGCCATGGGGACCTTGGATGCATAACTATAGCAGGAGAAAGAAGGCTTGAAGCTAAGGAAACAGGACTCCAAGTAGGCCCTGACGCTCATCCTCTGTATAAATTCATAAGGAGCTTGTGAGAACACAAGATTTTGCTGAACACATTAATACAATTTATTATCACAATCCTCAAAACACCCCATAATATCTTCAATGAGCTGAATTTTAGAAGCCCAGAATGGTTTCTGTAGCTCAAAGTTTGTGGGTGGAGATAGGTGGCGAAGCAGACACATATTATCTGTGTGTACAAGCAGGTGAACTGCAAGGTAGACCTGACAAAGCAACAAGTACAAGAATGTGTGTGTGTGTGTGTGTGTGTCTCATTAATGACTGCATCCCTAACAGCTGTGAGATCAAAGGCAAATCACTGACCTACTGTTTGAATGACAAGCAGCTGAACAACAGAGGATTAGAAGCCTGTGAACTTCTTCACATAGCGTGATTTCCTTAAGTCCCAGAATGAAAATAAGAACATCGTACGAATCCTCCGTCCTTCATGAACACAATGATGTATTTTTCATGTCTGTACTCCGAAAAATGTGGCCACAACAGCGAGTTAAAAATGTCTGAGCCTGAGTGACGATAAGGATTTTCTTGGAGAAGAAATACATTAGGGCCAATGGGGAGATATTTGCGCCTATCTGGACAGTTGGTCACCTGCTGGCCAAGGGGTACGATTTAATGATTTGAAACCTCTTTTGTGAGAAGCAGGACACATATACCTCCATTTTGATGTATTATTTGTGTCAGTGGAGTGAGATTTGTGGGCGTGGGAGCGATATATTCGAGCGAGGTTCTGTCGATCAGAGACGAGGTCTGCACTCTAGCTGATGACATCATCACTCTAAACTCTCCAATACACACCCATTATAAAGCTTGAAATTTGCTGAAAACCACAAGTTGCATAAAGCTAAATTGTGGAAGAACTGTAAAAGATATCAAAAAACTGAGTACAACTATAATAGTCGACAAGTGAATGAACATTTTAAAGCAAAAATGAGGTCTCTAGGTGAAAGTATGCTGAAGTTATAAGGTCTAGAAGGTGGAAGAATGAAAGGAAGAAGTTGAAGATTTCCCCATTGACTTCAATGTTAAAATTTTTGCACAAAAAGTTAAAAAAAACAAAAAGTATAAAGGGTAGAAAGAAAAATACACGCAATAATGTCCTGAAGGAGTGGAATAGTTTAAAGTTTGAATGGTTGAAATCGGACAAAGTTTGAAGGAGGAGAAGCGGTCCAAAAAAGGGACGGAAGAATAATAATAATAACTAGAAAAATTGCATTTCCTTGCAGAAAATGCGTGGAAATGCTGAGTGCTGAAAGCTGAAAAAGCAATGCTAAACTGCTAATAAAACATGGAGAAAGGCATAAATGTTAAAGCTGTTGAAGGGGTGAAAAAGAAATATAAGTTGGATAATAGTTTAATTGGTTGAAGGACAAATAGTATGAATATGCTCTATAAAAGGAAATTTTATTCATGCTGAAAGAGGCTAGAAAAATGTCTAAAATTGCACAAAGTTTGAATGAAGAAGGAAACTGCCTTTAAAGGCAGGAAGGTGAGAAGTGGCATAAGTTTAAGTTGTAGTACTAGAAGAAGTATGATAAGAAGTCAAGTCGTGATACTAGTAGTCATGTCAGCAGTAGAAGTAGATTGAGAATAAAAGAAGTATAAGTCAAAGTAGTAAAGAAAGTAGAAATAGTAGCAATAGCAGCAGTAGAGAAAGTAGAAATAGGAGCAATAGCAGTTGAAGTAGAGGGGAAAGTTCTAGTTTAATTGACATAAGTAGTTGTAGTACTAGAGGTAGGATTTTGTTTGAAGGACGGAATAATGCATAAATATTAAAACTAATATAAAACAGGGAAAATTTTATTAATTAAAAATCCTCAAGTATCAGACAGTTTTTAAGTATTAGAAAGGTTTGAATCAGTTTGAATGAGTTTAAATTAGTTTGAAAAATTAAATGATAAATCATCACTGAGTGACTTTAAAATGTGAAAAATTTAAATGAATATAAATCCTAAATACACCCCATAATGTCCTCAATGAGCTTAAATTTTAAAGCCCTGAATGGTTTCTGTAGGTCAAAGGTCATGTGAGGAGATAGGGGCTGAAGGTTTTTCAAGCGCTCTAGGAAAGGGTTTTAAGTGTCATCCCCAGTGCTATGTGTACTGAGCCTGGCTTCATGTGTCTCATATGGCCATTAGAAGCAGCTTTCCAGTCAGCTGTGTGTCTCCAGGTGCACAAATTGGTTGCCATGGGGACCTTGGATGAATAACTATAGCAGGAGAAAGAAGGCTTGAAGCTAAGGAAACAGGACTCCAAGTAGGCCCTGACGCTCATCCTCTGTATAAATTCATAAGGAGCTTGTGAGAACACAAGACTTTGCTGAACACATTAATACAATTTATTATCACAATCCTCAAAACACCCCATAATATCTTCAATGAGCTGAATTTTTCAAGCCCAGAATGGTTTCTGTAGCTCAAAGTTTGTGGGTGGAGATAGGTGGTGAAGCAGACACATATTATCTGTGTGTACAAGCAGGTGAACTGCAAGGTAGACCTGATAATGCAACAAGTACAAGAATGTGTGTGTGTGTGTGTGTGTGTGTGTGTGTGTGTGTGTGTGTGTGTGTGTGTGTGTGTGTGTGTGTGTGTCTCGTTAATGACTGCATCCTAAACAGCTGTGAGATCAAAGGCAAATCACTGACCTACTGTTTGAATGAGAAGCAGCTGAACTGCAGAGGATTAGAAGCCTCTGAACTTCTTCACATAGCGTGATTTCCTTAAGTCACAGAATGAAAATAAGAACATCGTACGAATCCTCCGTCCTTCATGAACACAATGATGTGTTTTTCATGTCTGTACTCCGAAAAATGTGGCCACAACAGCGAGTTAAAAAAGTCTGAGCCTGAGTGACGATAAGGATTTTCTTGGAGAAGAAATACATTAGGGCCAATGGGGAGATATTTGCGCCTATCTGGACAGTTGGTCACCTGCTGGCCAAGGGGTACGATTTAATGATTTGAAACCTCTTTTGTGAGAAGCAGGACACATATACCTCCATTTTGATGTATTATTTGTGTCAGTGGAGTGAGATTTGTGGGCGTGGGAGCGATATATTCGAGCGAGGTTCTGTCGATCAGAGACGAGGTCTGCACTCTAGCTGATGACATCATCACTCTAAACTCTCCAATACACACCCATTATAAAGCTTGAAATTTGCTGAAAACCACAAGTTGCTTAAAGCTAAATTGTGGAAGAACTGTAGAAGATATCAAAAAACTGAGTACAACTATAATAGTCGACAAGTGAATGAACATTTTAAAGCAAAAATGAGGTCTCTAGGTGAAAGTATGCTGAAGTTATAAGGTCTAGAAGGTGGAAGAATGAAAGGAAGAAGTTGAAGATTTCCCCATTGACTTCAATGTTAAAATTTTTGCACAAAAAGTTAAAAAAAACAAAAAGTATAAAGGGTAGAAAGAAAAAAAATACACGCAATAATGTCCTGAAGGAGTGGAATAGTTTAAAGTTTGAATGGTTGAAATCGGACAAAGTTTGAAGGAGGAGAAGCGGTCCAAAAAAGGGACGGAAGAATAATAATAATAAGTTTAATAATAAAGAAACGGGAGAATAACAATAAGTGGATATGCCTATCAGCATTTCCACTTAATAATAATAAAGAAAAATGGCCGACAGGAATAACAATAAGTGGAAATGCTTAATCAGCATTTCCACTTAATAATAAAGAAACGGGAGAATAACAATAAGTGGAAATGCCTATCAGCATTTCCACTTAATAATAAAGAACAGAATAACAATAAGTGGAAATGCTTAATCAGCATTTCCACTTAATAATAATAAAGAAAAATGGCCGACAGGAATAACAATAAGTGGAAATGCTTAATCAGCATTTCCACTTAATAAAGAAAAATGGCCGACAGGAATAACAATAAGTGGAAATGCTTAATCAGCATTTCCACTTAACTAGAAAAATTGCATTTCCTTGCAGAAAATGCGTGGAAATGCTGAGTGCTGAAAGCTGAAAAAGCAATGGTAAACTGCCAATAAAAAATAGAGGAAGTTATGAATGGAAAAACTGTTGAAAAGGTGCAGTAGAAGAAGAAGAAACAGTATTAATGTAAAAATTGTAGTGTAGCTCAAGGTAAAAGTTGAATGAATGTACAAATTGTATGATAGACAAAGTAAAAACTAATTATATGACTTTTGTGAGTTCACAGAAATTATAATCAGTATAAGTGATTTTGAAAAAGAAATGCCTTAATTAATGTGAAACAATGTTTCAATTAAATGTAGAAATGACAAAACACATGTGTGCAGTCTGCAGCATCCAACCATAGTAACTTCAGAATGGAGAATAGCACCATCTAGTGTATGGAGCCAGATCAGGCTCAAAAGTGTTGAAAAGTGCAATATATATAGTGAATCTCCTTCCACTTCAGTGGGGCAACATAAACTGTGATTCATAAAACAGCTCTATTGATAGTGAGTACTAAAAAAATATATCTAGTCATGCCATCCTGTCGATTTTTAGTAATCAGTGTTTCGGTGTGGAACTATTTCCCTTCTGCGGCGTAGTGATACTTGCACACGCGTAATCGAATATGCAGGGGGTGAAGCGATTTTTGTCACGTGGACTAATAGGAGCCGAGTGTCGTTGCCATAGTATCAGAAATACACAAACATGGCGACGACCGCATCTCGCAGCGAGACAAGCGAAGAGGAAGATTAGAAAAGGAAAAAAAGAAAACAGCCTTCAAAAGTGCATAAAAATGGAACGAAACGATGCTATATGCATCTGTCATCTGTCCAGAGTGAAGACGTTCTCGACTTTACAAGGACATGTTGGGAAACTTACAGAACTAGTATTGGAAAGTGGCTTTCTCTACAGGGTGAGACAAAGGACCTTGCAGAAACGTATAAACTTTGGGTTGATATCGACTTTGACAATGTTCCTGATGACGCTGGGTTTCACATGACATGCTACCAGTGATTTATTTGCAAAAGGGGTTTGAGAAACAAGAACGTGATGCAGCCACGGGTCAGTGAAACCCTTAACGCAGCATGCATCCACGTCCACGGCATCTGAAACTCCGCGAAAGAAACTTCGGTCGAGGTCATAAGCTGTATTGGGACAAAGGAAAAAGTGCCTAGAAAGTAAATTTCGTTAAAATACTTTATAAAAGTTTATACGTTTCTGCAAGGTCCTTTGTCTCACCCTGTAGAGAAAGACACTTTGTAATACTAGTTCTGTAAGTTTACCAACATGACCTTGTAAAGTCGAGAACGTCTTCACTCTGGACAGATGACAGATGCATATAACATCGTTTCGCTCCTTTTTATGCACTTTTGAAGGCTGTTTTCTTTTGTTCCTTTTCTTTTCTTCCTCTTCGCTTGCCTCGCTGTGAGATGCGGTCGTCGCCATGTTTGTGTATTTCTGATACTATGGCAACGAGACTCGGCTCCTATCGGTCCACATGACAAAAATGGCTTCACCCCCTGCATATTCGATTGCGCGTGTGCAAGTATCACTACGCCGCAGAAGGGAAATAGTTCGACACCGAAACACTGATTACTAAAAATCGACAGGATGGCATGAGTAGATATATTTTTTAGTACTCACTATCAATAGAGCTATTTTATGAATCACAGTTTATGTTGCCCCACTGAAGTGGAAGGAGATTCACTTTCTAAGCACTTTTTCCTCTGTCCCAATACAGCCTATACACAGCAGAAAGTGTTGTGTGTTATTAAGAAGTAAGAATGTAATAGAACCATTTGTAAAGTAATAGTGATATGATAGTTAAGCTTAGTAGAAAGAAAACAAGGTACAGAGAACAGCGTATTTGTTGAACAATCCTTTATTGTGGAATATAGTCAAAGAAGGAAGAAGTACAAACGGAACTATTTTTCAAAACAGAATGTGTGTGTGTGTATTTGTGTGTTTGTGGAAGAACTATTTACAAAATCAAAAGCTATAAGAGAATATGTATTAAGTGTGGGGTATGTTGTGGAAGGAGTGATTGTGTTTGTTGTTATATTAGTGGTGTGTGTGTCTGCGTGTGAATTGTAGAACTTTGTACAGTTTGTGAATAAACATTTATATTAGTTTGATAGAGGTGATGAGTTTACCTTCAACCTTAGCGGTAACATTAAGTGGCGCTTGGAGGATGAGGTCATCAAAGGCAGGGTCCCACAAAGTTTCAGGGATATGGAGAGTGCTTCCAGTGACCAGCAGTACCTCTATGATGGTGTCAGCAGGAGTAGTGCTGCATGATGGAACATCGTCTTTTGTGAGGACACCAAGGATGGTTAATTGTTGTAGAGTTTGCTGTTTCTGTGGAGAAGTGTATAAAACATAGGGAAAGAGTATGATGATTAGGTTTATGTGTGTTTGGCATTTGGAAAGTGTCAATATAGTTTAGTGTAAAGTGTCATTGGCCTGAGGAACTGTTAGTACTTGTACTGAATTGGAGAAAGAAACAGTATAATAACATACAGTACACTGGCTAAGAACATGAAACAAGTAAAAGAATAAAGTACAAATAAATAGGACTATGGAAGTAATAAGGTGTCAAAGTTGTTTTTTTTGTGGGATTGTGAGAGTTTGACATGAGCTTGGCTGAAATGAGATTATTGTGTGTATGTTGTATATGTTAGTTGTATATGAATGAGAATTTCAATGTGTTTGATAATGTATATAATGGATTAGAGCAGAGGTGCCCAACCACTGGGCCCCAGACCAGTAGCAGTATGTGAATAAATCAGTATGTTAGTATACTGTATGTTAGTAAATGTTAGTATCTTATTTTGTAAGAGCACCACTTCGGATCAGCTAATTTTTGCGCTTGAGTCTTGGGAATGTAATTTTCTTGCATTAGTAACACAACGTAGCCCTTGCAAAAATGAGGCAGAAACAGAGTTCACTGGAGAGAGAAAGGGTTGATTCTGCATTATGGTGAGTTGATGTTAAAGTGTAATGAAAGTGCGTAATATAAAATGTAATTGTTGTATTCAGATTGTTGTATTTAATTGTTGTAGTATGTACATACTATGTACTGATTAAGGTTCTTGTTATTGGAACCTCCACACATCTACCTGATCCTTTGAAAAGGTGTACTGCATGAAAGTGGTCCGTGATACAGAAAAGGTTGGGAACCACTGGTTTAGAGGATCTCAATGATGATTAGTGAGGATATAAATGTCATGGAGGTGATTGAAGTGAAATACAAGGCAACTAGTAAGTACCTGAATTCTGGTGAAGTTGGTGGTTCCCATTTGAATGCCATATTGAGTTGTGCGTCCCTTGACATGGCTGACTTCGAGCACTTCTCCCACATTTATAGGTTGCATTGCAGCCTCCCTCCACAGTGACAATGTGACCTTAATGTTGTCCTGTAAAATGTAAGAGCATATGTTATCATTTGTAATAAAAGCACAAGTGACACCAGCAAAAGCAGTTTGGTAGTTGTGTTATATAAGCAAAAGACCCAGATTAGAGATATGGTGTTAAAGTAAATGAAATATATGTGAATGGATGTAGAAATTGTAATATGAACTGTCTGTGAATATGTATCATTACATAATGTAGATTGTGGAGTAATTATCATAAGTGAAATTGACATGGTCATTATTGTACAGTGACAAACAAAGGTTAAAGACACCCTTGTGTGAACTGAATTATTGTTTTGTCAGTAGTCATAAATGACCAAAGCATTAGTAAGCACAGACATAGTTATTTGAAGAGTATGTGTTATATTAAGAGTGTGTGTCTTTGTGAATGTAATACGTGATTGTCTGATGTATACCATGTGAGATTGGAAATGTTACATAAATAATGTATCAGAGATTACCTGCTGCAGAACAATGCTCTTCACAGGTACAGCATCTCTTCCCGACTGCACTTTCCGAATAGATGACACCTAAAAAAGAAAAGTTCTGTATTTAGAGAATAAGAATTGGGAAGTGTAAAAATATTGTCATAATGTGTGATGTTTGTAATGTGAAAAAAAAAAAACCTGTATTGTAAAACATTCTACTGACCTCAGCAACTTCTCCCTGAACAGACATCAGACCCTGCTGTTGTTGGCAGTGGCGAAGGTCAACTAAAGGAGTAGGCGGGTCCAGTAAGGTTTCAGCTCTGTTGTGTAAGTCTTCAGAGCAGTATATATCAGAGCCTCTAAAGAACTGTGTAGCTGTGCCAACAGCTAAAGTATATGGAGCAGAGCTACCTGTATCAGGCCAGCCGCGCATGAAGTAGCTGTGACCTTCTTGCACTTTTGAAGCCATTGCTTCATACAAAGTGATTTTTGTAAGTGAATCACCACCACTAAGGATGGCAATTTTGTTTTGTTTCGTGCAAGTGGGGGTGACATGTGTGTCTTTAAAATCCCATGCCACAACTTTTGGTGCATCTTTTAGTTTTAACACAACAACATGTAGTGGTGGGAGTTTGGCATATGGTGTTTCGGGTTTGCTTCCCAACAGTTTGCGAAGTGC